TACTGTTTTCTTAATATTTTTTATTTTATTTCTTTTTTTTCTAAATTCAGCTACTTATATTCACTTATAATTTTTAAAAAAAATTTTAAAAGAAATGGATTAAGTTTTTATTTATGTAAATATTTAATAATATTATTTTATTTGATACATGACAAACGACGAGGTACTCAATTCAACCGTCCATAAAAAATGTCAGTATTTCATAAAGCGAAATGCTCGACGTTAAAATACGGTGAATATAGCAATTATAACTTGTAAATAAAGAAAAAACATCTTTCCAATTAAACATAGGATCTTTATTTACTATTTTATTTATAGTAGTGTGTACTACTGATAAATAGATATTAAATGATTATATTTTGTTTACAATAAACAGAATAAGCACTTGTAGCATCTTTTAAATATTTTAAGGATATTAGCATAGAATTCTTTACGTTATGTTCTCGTTAATTCGATTTTATTGGAAGTTTATTTAGATATACCAAAGATGTAAAATAATATTATAATTTTTTATCATAAAACATACATGTATGTATTATATTTTCATATAAACAAAAAATTTATAATTATCAAATGTTTCTTTTATAATTATTATTTGAAATAACATAAATTCTTTTTTTTTAAATTATTTGAACTATTTAAAATATAATTATGAGGAAAAAATTTAATGTTAAATTTTACGTCCTTGTTAAATATAAAAAATTGCATAAAGTATTTCAAAACTTTGTGATATAATTAAAAAACTTTGTGATCGAATTAACGAGATTGTGACAGTCTACATAATTGTACATGTGTATATATATATATATATATATATATATATGTTTTCCTTATTTTGTGTGTGTATATATGTATATGTCTACATATCGTACGCACGCAAGTACATGTAAAATGTATGTGATTTTAATAGGATCAATGTACATGTATATAGAATGATTCATTTATTTTGATCATAAACACACTTCCGTCTCTTCTAAAATAGAGAAAAGTATATAAAAAAGAAGTTGTTTAGTTCAGCGTAATAATTTTTCAAAATCGTAGTTTTCGAAATTACGCATTTTACGCATTTGTACAGATAAAGTAAATTTGATATATATGATGCATTTTTTAAAGATAAGAATTGTAATAAGTTAAATAATTAAATAACTAAGAAATATATTTTTTTATAACTTTATTATGTTCGATATATAACAAGCGTAAATTTTAAAAATTTCATAAATTTTATAAACTAATCTTATTATGATAATAAAAAATTTTTTTTTGAACTAGACAACTTTTTTTATTTTTTATTTTTTTATAGTATTAAGCTATCAAAATAAATGAATCAATTGCATAAGGGCATGAGTGAGTGTATGCGCGTTTTGCAAAATATATTTATTATATTGTGTACTATATATAAATATTATATTATATCATAGTACACATATTATTGTTCTGTATACAGGTCGTTCCATAAATAACAAGATCATTTTTTAAGAATCTAAAATTCTATTTGTAATACATAATATATAATAATATAATTTTCAGCTATTATAGAATTAAAGAAACATTTACATTCTGAATATATTTCAATCATGTACATATGCGAATCTGTTTGTTTTTAAATAAAACAATGCATAAAATGGTAAAAATAAACAGAGTAAAAGAGATAAAAAAAATACGATCTATGAAATATTTATGAAATGATCTGTATCTAATAAAAATTATAATTTAGAGATAAGAAATATAAAATAAATAAAATTATTTCGTACAAAAACATCTCGACAAATGTTAAAGATTAATTATCCTTAAAAACAGATCTTAATTTTTAATAAATGTCAGATGGCGCACATTGTGATGTATAACTTTGTACATAAATCAAGATTTCATTACGATTGATGATATTAATTAATAATTTGAAAATGATATTAATTAATAATTTTTTAATCAGATATAAATTTCTTTTGAAATCATAGCAAAAAAAAAAGAAAAATAATTAGAAACACTTTCTGTGTACAATGGATGGTCCCGACTCGTCATACTCTTGTTTCGAGATCCACATTTGCTGGAACGTACTTAAGCTGGCCAAGATCGAACCACCGATCCAGACCGAGTATTTCCTTTCCGGAGGCGCGATTATCTTGATTTTCATTGTGGATGGAGCCAGTGCCGTTATTTCCTTTTGCATTCTGTCCGCAATTCCCGGATACATAGTGGTACCGCCCGATAGAACCGAATTCGCATACAAATCCTTACGAATATCAACATCACATTTCATAATTGAATTATAAGTTGTTTCATGTATCCCGCATGATTCCATGCCGAGGAAACTTGGCTGAAACATTGCTTCTGGGCAACGGAAACGTTCGTTTCCGATAGTAATCACCTAAAATTAATCTTAATTAATTCGCCAATTTAAACATTTTAGAAATTATATCAAATATTCAATTTTTAAATATATATTTTTAATTGTATATAAATTTATTATAAATGCAGATAGATTAGAGAAAAATTATAAATGATGTATAAGTTAAAATTACCTGACCATCTGGTAATTCATAGCTTTTTTCCAAAGCACTTGAACCAGCAGCCGTAGCCATTTCTTGCTGAAAGTCCAAAGCCACATAACACAATTTTTCTTTAATATCTCGAACGATTTCACGCTCTGCGGTAGTAGTAAAAGAATATCCTCTTTCCGTTAGAATTTTCATAAGATAATCCGTTAAATCACGACCAGCCAAATCCATACGTAAAATTGCATGCGGTAATGCATATCCTGGATCAAATAGAATTTTTCATTGTATTTGAAATGATAAAATTAATATATGTATCATTTTTTAAACAAAATTGTATAAAAATTTACAAGAATTTTGATAAAAATATTAAACTTTAAAATAATCATTAAAAAATAATTTTTATATTACAATATTTTAACAAAAAATTTGTAAGAAAAATGTAAGAATTTATTATATTTATAAATAAGATAAACTTTTTTCTCAATTTTTGTTTGAATTAAAAAATAAAAATTTAATAAAATTTGAATAATTAAATATTTCAAATAAAAAAAATGAAGAATACCATTTTCATTTAGTATGTAAAAATATCTCGTCGCGATAAAATTACACAATGTTGATTATAAAAATATATAATTTTTGTAACAAAAATATTTATTTTTTTAATATTATAAAGAAAAATAAATTAATATAAAAATTAATGAAAATGTACTATATTAATAAAAGGTTTTAATCTTATAAATATATAAATTATATATAAATTACATGAATTTTAAACAAAAGAATATGATTCGAAAAAATAATTTTTTGATTGAAATGGTAAATAAAACGTACCCTCGTAAATTGGTACTGTGTGTGAAACTCCATCTCCGCTATCTAGAACAATGCCTGTAGTGCGTCCTGAAGCGTAAAGTGATAAAACAGCTTGTATGGCGACATACATTGCTGGAGAATTAAAAGTTTCAAACATAATTTGTGTCATCTTCTCTCGATTAGCTTTAGGATTCAAAGGAGCTTCAGTCAGAAGAACGGGGTGTTCTTCCGGAGCAATCCTTAATTCATTATAGAATGTATGATGCCATATTTTTTCCATATCATCCCAATTTGTTACAATACCATGTTCAATTGGATATTTAACTGTTAAAACACCTCTTTTACTTTGTGCTTCATCTCCCACATAACTATCCTTTTGTCCCATACCAACCATAATTCCCTATTATAATTATTTTTATTGTTTTCAGAATAAAAATAAATTTTTTAATTTGATTTTTCAAATTAAAAAAAAATAAAATAATAAATATTAATTTTTCCTTGTAAATTTCTTATAAATTTAAATATTGAATTTTTATTATATCGAATTTTTAAAATTTAAAAATTGTATAATTTGATAATATTAAGAATATTTTTAATTATAAATTATGATAAAAACACAATTATTTTATAATTATATATATATATATACACAAAGAAAAATTATTTATGAATTTGATAAATTCTTGTTAATTTTCAGAAAAATAAATAAAATTAAATTAATATTATATAATATAAATAAATTAATGAATAATTAAATTTATTAATTATTAATTATTAATTATAAATTTTACCTGATATCTAGGTCTTCCAACAATAGAAGGGAATACAGCACGTGGAGCATCATCTCCTGCAAATCCTGCCTTACACATGCCTGATCCATTATCTACTACTAAAGCTGCTACGTCGTCATCACACATTTTAAATAAAAAATTATTTTACTTGTATACAAAAAAATTAAAGTTGGTTGCCAAAAATAGTAAAAAGCTTTTTTGACTAGATTTTGCACTATCTCGACAGTACATTAACTTCTTTAATATTGTTTCTGCTGAAGAATGGAGCTCCTTTATATTGATGCCCCCTCTTTTTATACTACCTCTATGCATTCATGCCTATATATTAAATAGTTTCTAGCACTTCAATGAATTAGTATATGTACAAGTTAATGTAATGAAGTAATTTTCGTACATTTCTATAATTCCAAATAAATATCATTGATATTTAAATCTAATTATTTATTTTATTATTTATATTTTTATTGATAATAAATTTGTTATAATTAATATAATTTAATTTAAAATTTGAATAATAATTGTATTAATAATGCAATATTTCTAACATATAACAGTAATAATATGATTATATTTAATATAAAAGTTGAAATAAATACTTTATGATAGAATTTAATTGGTTTTTTATATATGCCAATTAAGAGATTGTTACTAAAGTTCATACAGACTTTATAAGAAGTAGAGCATACAAGGTATTTCCGCGTCTCTTTAGCAATGTTAAATTTTGTTAACTAAAATAATTTAGATTACTCCATTTGTATTCATGAACAAGTAAATTATAATTTATCAATGAAAGTGAAAACCAAACTTTTATTTTATTAAATATATATGTGAAGAATTACAAAATTAAATAGTCTATACATAGAAAATTTATTAAAGAAAGAAAAGAATTTTTCTTCCTTGTATATAAATTTTTAATTGTATTTAAAAAAAAATATATTTTATATACAAATGTTTATTTTTATTTTAATTTTATTTTATTTTAGTTAATTATATTTATAGAAAATGGAAATTTCAGTTTACTAAGTCTTCCAGAATTAACGCATTTTAGAGATTCACTGTTCCATAGAATAATCACTATGCAGAATCTCGTTATAATCGGTGTATTACATTCGTTAATTAACTGTTCGACTAATCCTCATAATTAGGCCGTGAAATTAAGTATCTAATTTGAATTAGTTGTATATTCTATTTTTAATCGTTTCTTTTGGAGTGTAAAAATGATAAAAGAATATAATATTAAATTTATTATAAATTGCAAATATTAAATATAAATATTTTTAACTCATTTCAAAGATAGACATTGTATAGGTAAATAAATAAATAAATTTATTTTTTATTATTTTTCTTATTCTTTTAAAAATTTTTTCTTTGTCAAATTAACTAATTTTAAATTACTATATTTACAAATGAAATTATAGCTATGATTATTTATTTTTAATCTACATTTTTTATTTATCCCAAAGACCAATTTCTTTCATTCTTGTTTGGAAATATTTTTCTAAAGCATTAGCACATCGATAATATTCAGTATCGGGACTGTTATATAAACGACAATTAGTAAAAATTCGTGTCATATCTGCAATAAATAATCTTCTTGTAACATAATATCTAGCTTTTAATCGTTCAGTCATAGTTTTGAGATCTGAAAAGTATAAAAATATAAATTACTAAAAATTTCATTTTTATTATTTATTTTTATTATTAATAATGATTAATAATAATTTGAATTCTCATTATATTTACCCATTGGATATTTAATATGATCATAATAATCTGGCACATCATTTTTATCCACAGGCTTTAAAAATGGCCATGCTGTACTGTGATTTTTTACACTATTTAAAACATTTTTTAATGCATTATATAAAGAATCTGTGATATCTAAGCATGCTTCCATTGGTTCTGGTCCTTGAGTTCCTTTAGCTACTCCTCTTGTTCTTGTCTGAGCATAATTTTTCCAACCAGTTTCACGAATACCAGGAATAGACTCTACTGGAATTCCTCTAACACCTTCTTTGAAACATGTTAAACCAGGATGCACTTTTTGTATTTCCTGTTGTCTTTGATGAATTAGCTTTTTAATAATTTCTTTTTGTTTTCGTATAACAGCCGTGAATTCAGTATATACAATTTTTGCATTTAATTCACAATGCATTAATGTTGCACCCTCATAATCCTTAATATATCCTTGATACATCGATCGAGGTAATTTTATATCTTTACTAAATCCTTGTTTTTTGAAATATCCAATTGCAAATTCATCCGCAAATGTAAGAAAATGTAATATATTATTTTTTATATGATAATCTTTAAGCATGTTCATTAAGTGTGTACCATAGCCTTTAACTTGTTCTTCACTAGTAAGAGCACAAAATACTATTTCTGTAAAACCTTGAGTGGGAAACATTCGAAAACAGATACCACCAATTGGTCGACCATCTTTTATTAGGGCTAATGTTTTATGTTTTCTATAAATAAAGAAAATATTATAAAAAAATGTAATCAAAAAAATATACTTATTCTATTATATAATATACCTATATTATAGTATACTTAACGGGTCAAAAACTAATTGAGATATATATTCTTTTGGCATTTTAGGTAATTGATGGCTAAATACATTATGTAGTCCAATTAACCAAAGCATTGTTTGTTTAGAAACTGGTTGTGTTAAACTATTTCCAACTACATGAAATTCTATAATTTTTCTGCTTTCTTCAATTTTAGCAGTTTCATCTCGTGGAACATTTGGTGGAAATACTGCATCAGGTCCACACATATAATTAGGATCATTAATGGTTGCAACAATTTCAGCAACTGTTTCTTCTGATAAGTCTTCAAAAATTTCTTCATTTTTTCTTCTTTTTACATCTGAACGACCTTCAGAATGTGATCTTTTTTCATGAATTTTTTTTATACCAGGACTTATATTAATTGTTGTATAATTATCTTTATCATTTGGTGGAACAGTGACTTTTTCAAATTCACCTGTTCTTCTTGTTTGATTTGCTTTTGATTCCAAAGCAGATTGTAAATAAGTAGGAGGTACTTGTTTATAATCAGGATCCCAGATTGGTGAATTATCAGAATAAATTTCTGTTTCTAACATTGATAAGAATCTAAAAAATTAAATCAAATAAATATATTATACATCAATTAATAAAATAATATGAAACAAAAATGAAAAGTTTTATATACTTAGGAAAATGTGTTAATACTATTACTCTTTTCTCTGGTGCCAATTTATCTCGTTCACTATGACATTTATCTAATAATTGTCTAGAAACAGGTTTAAAAACAGCTTGAACAAATGTTCGTCCAAAAACTAGAGATGTATCGTAATGAGGTAATGAATCACAAAATGCTGGTATATGACAGAACACAAGCCAACGAGTATGATTGATTTTATATGCAGGAGCTTCCTCTGCACTGATTGTGCCTCTTCTAGCACTAAGTGGATCAAAGTTCCAATGATTTAAGCAATGTAAAAACATCTTTGCCATATCACACATAGCTTGCATATCTCTTTGTGGTAAATGACCATATTTATAAGCAACAAAATTCATTACTGCTTTTGCAATACTAGGTCGTTCAAAAGGTGGTTGTCCTAAAGGACCTTCTATTATAGGTTTAGTCATAGATTGTATACATTTTCTCAAAAGTTTATATAAATAGAAATAAACTTTTTTCGTATCAGGATCTTCTTCTTTTTGTAATCCTAGAAAAATATTATCAGCATCTATGACCATACATAATAATTTATTGATTTCTTCTTCTGATTGATTAGTTAAATGTGAAACATGATTTTCTAAAACATGTTTACAACTTTTACAAGGATCAAAAAAATTTATAACAGGTTGTTGTGAATCATTTTTAGATTTAGTTATTATTTGAGAATTTTTCCATCCAATACATTTGCAATCATCAACTTTACATGCACTATATGTTGCAATTTTTAATATTTTTTTCATTTGTGGTAAATTTAACATTTGTTGTTTTCTTTGTTGTATTCTTTGCAGATTATTTTGTCGGCTACTTTGTTCCTGAGATCTGGCAGTATTTGGTTCTCTACTATTTCCTGCATGTTGTGATGTACTAGTTACACCATTTTCTTCTAATGATTGTAATGTTGAGTTACGATTTCCTTCTTCTGTTGTCATATTTTTGCTAAATAAAAAGTAAGAAAAATAATTTAAAACTTATTTAAAAAAGTACATAGTTATTTATAATACATAAATTTTTATAATATATAAAATTAAAAATCTAAAAATATAATAATGCAACTTACAAGAATAAACTACGAGAATAACCCTGTAAATATATTTAGAAGATTAATAGTATAATACTATCTTTGAAATTAATACTTTAACATAATATTATATATGTATAATTAAAGAAAAATTTTATAAAATTGGTAATATATTTATAGCATAATATATGATTTTCAATATTTATTTATAATACCATAAATAAGTATAAAAGATTAAGAATCGTAATAAATTAAATTGAATATGACGCTATAGTGCCATCTATCCCACAAATAGTAAATTAATTCTCTCGTTCATTCAATATCTAACAAGGTTCTAAAGATCTCTCATTGTAAGTACAATTAACTTTTATGTTAAATGTAATATGTAAATTTTTTTGTTATAAAATATTCTAAATCTTTTAAATATTATTTCACACAATTACAATTTGATTTAATTGTTCGAATATGCAATTTCTATGAAATTTTAATTACATGTTTTGATTATATGATTCGTGCTCGATAAGTCACGAGTAAAAACGCTTTCGTACCTTTTTGTCTTACAATATCGCTCTTATCTTATATTATTTTTTGCAGAATTCTAAGGTACCTATTATATCGTAATTATCAAGTATTCATAGTACATATTATATTTTATTTTAAAATGTAAATAATTTAAGTTTTAAAAATTTTTAGAATAATAAGTTGATCATATTTAGGTTTTGATTGCGTGTCAGTTCAATATTGTATCAAAAGAGATTTATAAGCATAACTGTATTGTTGTTATATTTATTGTATAATAAATTATAACGAAGAAAATATTTCATAAATATACTCATTAGAAAAATTATGGCTACTTGGGATGGTTCTTACTCAGGACCAGATGATCAAAATTGTTACGTTTATCCCGATCAAAATGTTTCTGGAACAACAAGAAACTGGACATTATTTCCTAATAATATAAATAATGATTATTTACAACCTAATCACGAGTTTTATGTACAAAATGAACCTATATTTGAACAAAATAATCCAAATACTTTCTATCAATCAAATACAAATGTCATGTCAAATTTATTGACCACAAGTACTTATCATGATCATGTAACAAATTCTGTAGGTAATACAGAAGTATTAAATAATCAAGAATATTTTCCAAATGTCGATTCTCAACAATGTTATATATATGAAAACAATTGGAATTCTGATTATGATTTATTAAAAAATAAGATAAAACATGATTCTATAAAAAGAATTAAAAAGACTTCAAGTAACATAACAAATCATTCAAAATTACATGTTATGGCACAAGAATTTGTACCAAATAATAAAGAAGATGATGATAGAAAGAAAAATAATGAATTATTAAATACAAAATCTATTAATGATTCAGATGTTTGTGTTAAAGAAAATAACAAAAAATCAAATAAATATTTCTTTTGTAATGCAAATAGACATGAAAAAAAATATAATAACAAAAGAAGTTCTAATTATAAACCTAAAGAAGGACAACAAGATCAATGTTATAAAAGAAATGCAAATACAAATTCTTATCCACAACAAGTGAAGACACCTTATAAATTTCTAGGTAATAAATATTTTACGAACAAATATTATTCGGGAAAATCTCAAATAAATTCAAAATATGTAAATGAAGATGCATCAGATAAACGTACAATGAATAACAATGAGGCTTGTAATAGTAAAAAAGATTCTTTTACAAATTTAAGTAAAAGAGAAAGAGAATCATCAAATATAAATATAAATAAAAATAAAAATTTATCAAATGAGGACAATGATGAAAGATCTATTATTGCTGATAATATACAGTCTAATGATATTTCACAATCTAATAATCTAATTAAAGAATTAACTTACTATAATTCTGGCTTAAAACAAACTTATAATAATCACAAAAGTATAAGAAAATATAATGATAGATATAATAGAGAAGAAAATTATAAAGAAAAACAATTTCAATATCAAGGATATAGTAGAGAAAATTATTATAAAGAAGATAAATTTAAAGTAAAAAGCCAAATATGTAACAATGGAGAATATAATGAATATAAAGAAAATTTTAGTGAAGAAACTAGATTAGAATCAAAGGAAGTAAAAGAAAAAAGACATAATTATCAAGGATATAGCGGGTTTAAAGAACATAATAAAGAAAGTAAAATGGAAATTTTTAAAGAAAAAGATAAAAATAAACATTATGTATTTGGAAATAAAGAAAAAGGAAATGAACATTGGCGAAATAAAAGAGAAATTAGCGAAAGAAATAATATCCAAAAACGAGGACAAAATAAAAGGTCACCAATTGGTATGTATATAAGTTAAATTTTAATTTAATATATTATATATTATATTATATATTATACTTTTAACATAATTGCTTTGTTATATAGATGATGATGCAAGTCAAAGAGAAAGATTAACAGAGCAGTTGAATAGGGGGCAATTGGAATGTTTAGTATGTTGTGAATATATTAAACAAAATGATTATATTTGGTCATGTTCTAATTGCTATCATGTTCTACACTTAAAATGTATTAAAAAATGGGCAAAATCATCGCAAGCTGGTAATTAATTAATAATTATAATTAATAATATAATAATTATACATAAATAACTATAAATAATTAATATGAATACAATTATAAATAATTGTTTGTATTGTTATAGAAAATGGATGGAGATGCCCAGCATGTCAAAATGTTAATTTAATAATTCCTGAAGACTACTTTTGTTTTTGTGGTAAAACAAAAGCACCTGAATGGAATCGTAGAGATGTTGCACATTCCTGTGGTGAAATTTGTGGTAGAATGTTGTCAAAAAATAATTGTCCTCATAAATGCACTCTTTTATGTCACCCAGGATCTTGTCCACAATGTACTGCAATGGTAGCAAAATATTGTGGCTGTGGTAAAACTTTGCAAACAGTGCAATGTAGTGTTCATAAATTATTATTGTGTGATTCCATATGTGATAAGAATTTAAATTGTGGCAGACATAAATGTCAAAAGAAATGTCATCATGGAGAATGTGCAAATTGTGAAGAAACAATAACACAAAGTATATTTTTTTAACTGTAATTTAATATTAATTAAAATATTAAACATTTAATTCTGATGATAAATTTAATTTTCAGAATGTTTTTGTGGTAAAAATACAAGAGAAATAACTTGTCAAAATAATATTTCACTTACATATTCTTGTGAAACAATTTGTGGTAAATTATTAGAATGTGGCAATCATACTTGTACAAAATTATGTCATGCAGATGCTTGTGAATCTTGTTCTTTAATTCCTGACAAAATTACAACTTGCTGTTGTGGTCAAACACCATTAACAGATAAAAGACAAAGTTGTTTAGATCCAATTCCTATATGTGAAAAAATATGTTCGAAAAATTTAAAATGTGGACAACCCAGTGAGTAGTTTAAATTAGAGATACTATACATATTTCATTAAGATAAGAAAATTATAAGAAATTGTAATATAATATATTATTTGTAGATAATCCTCATAAGTGTAAAGCAAGATGTCATGAAGGAGATTGTCCTGTTTGTGATTTATCTACAGATGTTAAATGCCGTTGCGGAAATATGGATAGAGAAATAGCTTGTAAAGATTTAATATCAAAAGCTGATGATGCAAGATGTGAAAAAAAATGTATAAAGAAACGATCTTGTGGCAAGCACAAATGTAATCAATTATGTTGTATAGAAATAGAACATATTTGTCCATTAATTTGTTCTAAAACTTTAAGTTGTGGTAGACATAAATGTGAACAAAGATGTCATAAAGGTATTAAATTATGTTAATTATAGACAAATTTCAAAATTAATTTTTGTAATTAAAAAAATTTAAAATAGTTTGTAATGGAAAGAAAAAATAATACGTGATAATTTGATATATATTACTAATTCAACTTTGAGCTATTGTATATAAAAAATTAAAGTAATATATTTTAATATAGGGAGATGTCAACCTTGCTGGCGTAGTAGTTTTGATGAATTATATTGTGAATGTGGATCTTCAGTGATATATCCTCCTGTTCCATGTGGAACAAGAAGACCTGTATGTGATAAACCTTGTTCTCGCCAGCATTCTTGTGGGCATGAAATATTGCATAATTGTCATAGTGAAATAACTTGTCCACCTTGTACTGTTCTCACTCAAAGATGGTGTCATGGTAAACACGAATTACGAAAAGCTGTGCCATGTCATGTTAATGAAATTTCATGTGGTTTATCATGTAATAAACCCATATCTTGTGGTCGACATAAATGTATTACTATTTGTCATCCTGGACCATGTGAAAAACCAGGACAACAGTGTTCTCAACCTTGCACTATTTTAAGGGAAATGTGTGGACATATTTGTGCTGCTCCATGTCACGAGGGTAAATGTCCAGATACACCTTGTAAGGAAATGGTTAAGGTAATTATTTAAATTTGTTTAAAAAAATAAGATTTATTATTTGTTTGTATGTTAAAATATAACGAATTTTTATATATTATAATTTTATTGATAAAAATCATTTTTTACAGGTGACATGTCAATGTGGACATAGAACTATGTTTCGTGTTTGTGCCGAAAATTCTAAAGAATATCAAAGAATAGCAAGTAGTATATTAGCTAGTAAAATGGCTGATATGCAACTAGGGCATTCTATTAATTTGGAAGAAGTGTTTGGTCAAGGAGTAAAAAAACAAAATCAGTTAAAAACTTTAGAATGTAATGATGAATGTAAAATAATAGAACGAAATAGAAGATTGGCATTAGGTTTACAAATTATAAATCCAGATTTAAGTGGAAAATTAATGCCTAGATATAGTGATTTTATGAAACAATGGGCTAAGAAGGATCCGCATTTTTGTCAAATGGTTCATGAAAAATTAACAGAGTTGGTTCAGTTAGCAAAGATTTCTAAACAAAAATCACGCAGTTATTCTTTTGACAGCATGAATAAAGATAAGCGTCATTTTATTCACGAGTCTTGTGAACATTTTGGTTGTGAAAGTCAGGCATATGATCAGGAGCCAAAAAGAAATGTTGTTGCAACTGCTGTAAAAGATAAAGTAATTTCTTTATAATATTTAAACAATAAAATTAAATTAATTTCACAAATTAATTTCCTGATTTTATAATTATAGTGTTGGTTACCTAGCTATAGTTTATTAG